AAAGGGACGTGTAATACGTTTGGATTCTATCAGCAAAGTTATCAGCCCCGGACTTCGCCTAGGTGTTGTTACAGCTCACAAAGAAATCATTAAAAAATTAATTTTGCATTTGGAAACAACAAGTATTCATCCTTCGTCTCTATCGCAGGTAATTCAATGATTTTGCGTGTATTTAAAACCTTTCAAATGAATCAATGTAATTTGTATTATCTAATAGTACTTGTGTTATATTCATCTAATCTATCGATAATCGCCCTTGCAGATGTTGCTATACAAATTATTAAACACATGGAGCGTGGATAAGCTGCAAGAACATTTCAACAACGTTCAGAGGTTTTATCGCGATAGGCGAGATCTTATGTTGTCTTTGATTAAAAAACATCTTACGGGTATATGATATTTTCGTATCTTTTAAAACTTCGTTTCCACAAACATTGAATTACTACTGAATTTAGTTTCCTCTTTATTTTTTTAAACAAAGGAAATCTCATGTTGTAGGACTGGCTGAATGGAACGTCCCGAAAGGTGGAATGTTCGTTTGGTTGAAAGTAAATAAAATAAAGGATACAATGGAATTAGCAGACAAGGAATGTATTTCACATGGGATTTTTATTATTCCTGGTCATGCATTTAACTACGATCGCTCGAAGCCCGAACGGCATATTAGGCTCAGTTATAGTTACGCAACGCCTGAGGAAATCGATAAGGTCCTTGTTTTATTCGATCCTTCATTATATTTAATTCATTTGCTGACTTTTAATATCATTTCAAATTTCAGTACACAACGGCCTTTATCTCAAATTTGTTTTAATATTTCACTAATTTCTATTTGAAAATTATTGGTCTTGCATTTTCTTCTATTTCCAGGCGCTTACGATACTAGCTAAACTAATACGTGAGGAGATTAAAAAATTGGATTAAAAAAACGTATTATTCATGGCGACCTTGCAGCGACGTATTACGGTTTTCTGTGAAAATGAAGTTTTAATATGAAACTCATTGAAAATACTTATATCACTGGCTACTGTATATTTATAGCCTAATTATGCTTTTACAAATTTCCAGACGTAATGTATCAACTATTTTCGCCAAATATAGCTTTTTGAAAATTTGAAATAAAATCGTGTATTTTGTCTCCTTTTAGTTCTATTCGAAGAAGATATTCTATTCGAAAGATGTTTATAATAACGACTCTTTGCTTTGATTGATTATTAACAACTGAGAATGCAAAATATTTTCTGTTATCTTATTTTCTTCTTCCTGCATTTTAAATCAGTTTCATTGCTATTAAACTTGCTTTTTTAAATACTCGCGCCACCACAAAGATGTATTACGTGCTGCCATCTAGACGCTGCTCAATGTCGACTAGAACTAAAAGGAGAAAATGTAAAATCCAATAGATGGCAGTACGCAACACGTTCATGTAGCGACATCTATTTAGTCTTATAAAAAGTTACCATGGAAATACAAT